TTTTAGGGGGCGGGTACCAGGGATTGAACTTGGGGGGCACTCAACCACTGATCCATATCCCCAGCCCTATTTTGTATTTTATTTATGGATAGAGTCTCACTGAGTTGCTTAGTGCCTTGATTTTGCTGAGGCTGGCTTTGAACTCGAGATTCTCCTTCTTCAATCTCCCGAGCTGTGGGGATTACAGGCTTGTACCAGCACACACAGCTTGAAAAGGTAATTTTTTATTTGATAATTACACAGTATTTTTCAAAATTAATAAAAGCCCCCATATTTGGACTGGAATTTGAGAAAAAGTCAAAGGAAAGGTAAATATACTGATAAAAACATCATGATGAAATTAATGCATTCCAAAAAGAAAAAGATAATTCTAAATGTATTATAAAAGACAGATTACTTTAGGAGTTAATGACACTTAAACTGACAGCTGATTTTAGAGCAAAGATAAAATCCAGAAGGTGGTAGAACCATATCTTAAAGAATGATGATAGAAAAATAACCCCTATGAACATAAAATTGTATACTCATAGAAACCCTTTCAAGAATAACATTGAAGTAACAATCTTCAGACAAACAAAAACTGAGTTTATTAGCATAGATTCTTATTTAAAGGACATTGGAAATGTTTTTTAAGAAGGAAAATGACCAGAGATGGAAGATTTAAGCAGCAAAGAAGAAAAAAAAGCAACACAAATGGTAAACACATGGAACAGCCTTAAAGAAATATTTACTATGAATAAAATTACCTAATTTCTACATTAAACATAAGAGAACTAATGTTGAACATTAATGACAGCAACCTTGAGTAACATTGGTGTTCATCTGTTTTACCTTCAGCCTTTCTGGTACCTCCTTCTTTCCTCTAATGCTGAAATGCTGTGATGCTCAGTTCTTGGACATTTTCCATTTTCTATCTTTATTATATACGCCCTTCCATTTACATCCAATCTCATGACTTTATAACTAGCTATAAACTGATGACCACTACATTTTTAAAATCAAGAATATTCTTCTTCTCTGAGCTACTTTGGCAACACTGTCCATTTTTTTAGGTAAAAAATATCTTACCATACTTTCCTTTACCCATTCTCAACACAATCAACAAGGACATCATTTGAAAATTTATATCAGATGTAAATCTGATCAAACTATTTGAAATACTCTTCCCTCATCTATTCACAAGTTTTCTTCCATTTTTGCCTTCAAGTCTTTACTCAGAAGTGCTCTTGGTGAATCTCTTTCTCTGACATCCCGTGCCATACACACACACTTCACCAATACTTTCACCATTAATCACTTTCTTCATAAAATCCAGTACCAAGGAGATTTTTAGTATTTCCCGCTTAATCTGAATTAATTATTTATTTTCCTCACTAGAATGAGAGCTCCAATAATGCAATAAATTTTGTCATTTTTTTTCCCAGTGCTCTCTTCTTAAAACCAATAATATTGACTAAATATCCAATATACATATATATGTGTATATATGTTAAGTTCAGTAAATAATAAAGCAATTTTAATATTCTTTTAGTGCTCAGAAGGACACATTACATTTCAAAATTCAATTTTAAAGCATAATTTTAAAGTAACCATTAACTGCA